CGATCCGTAAATGAAAATATTTTCCAACTACAAACTAACTTATAAATATACTATTATATTTTTTATTTTATTCTTTCATTTGGATTTTTTTACAACATGAACTGAAACTGCCATTTCCTTATAAGGCTTATATGTTTATATATCTAAGTATAAATACATATATATATATATATATATATATATATATGTGTGTGTGTGTGTGTTTGTGTGTGTGTGTGTTTGTGTGTATGTGTGAGAGAGTGAGAGAGAGAGAACTTATAACACTAGTATATGTTTATGCCCTTATATGCTATCATTTCATCATCATCGTTAATTTTTTCTTCCATGTGCAATATTAATAATGTAGTTGTTTTATTATTATTTCTTTATTTTTGTTTAATTTGTTATTAGTATTATTGCTATTTTTTTTTATTTATCGGTTTCTTTACTAGATGCTTTTTAATGATAACGATAAAATTGAGCGTTCATAAATAATGTTGATTGATTGATTGATTGATTGATTGATTGATTGAGTGAGTGAGTGAGTGAGTGAGTGAGTGAGTGAGTGAGTGAGTGAGTGAGTGAGTGAGTGAGTGAGTGAGTGAGTGAGTGAGTGAGTGAGTGAGTGAGTGAGTGATCAACTTCTTTGTGATAATTTCCATGTCAATTATTTTTTTTAGTTATAATAATTAAATAAAAACTACAGTGTATTTTGTTGCTATTTTTGTTAAATATAATTTAAGATGAATGTGTGTGTGTGTTTGTGTGTGTGTGTTTGTATGTGTGTGTTTTTGTGTGTGTTTGTGTGTGTGTGGGCGCGTGTGTGTGTGATTCAAAATTTACATTTTTGGGTAGTGTGTGAATTGAAAAAAATTTCACAATTGAATTAAATATGCTGTTGTTTTTTCGTAAGCTCGTTTTTATTATCCTAATAAGTTCTGCAAACATATAACGCTTCTCTCAGTTTTTAACATGTTTGTTCGCCATCTTAGTTGGTTGGTTGGTTGGCTGGCTGGTTAAACATTTGGTGTGTGTGTTTGTGTGTGTGTGTGCGCGTGAATGTAAGGTGCATATGCATTTTTATTATTATTTATATTATAATTTATATTATTATTATTGTTGTCGTTGTTGTTTGGATGTTTATTTTTTGATTTGAATTTTTGAATCTCTAATAACGAATTGTAAAAATAAAGTATTTTTTGTTTTCATATTAACTTATCGTAAGTTGAGATTCGACTCTTCTCATGAAATGGATCGATGGATCCATAGATAAATGAATGAATGAATATATGAATGAATGATTGATTGAATGGATGGATGGATTCAATGAATGAACTAACGAACGAATGAATGGATACATCATATGGATGAATGAATGAATGAATGATTGATTGATTGATTGATTGATTGATTGATTGATTGATTGATTGATTGATTGATTGATTGATTGATTGATTGATTGATTGATTGATTGATTGATTGATTGATTGATTGATTGATTGATTGATTGATTGATTGATTGATTGATTGATTGATTGACTAGATAAATGAATGTAAATGTTTTGGTTGAAAGTCACAAGTGTCAACTAGATGAATGAAACTCGCCAATTATCGGCAAAGGTTTTAGAAAGTAAAAAAAAATTAAGATTTCTTAAAAGTTTATAGGCATTCTTTGATTGGTTGGTTGATTTGATAGAAAGGCAGGTCAGTCGATCCATTGGTTGGTTAATCAGTTAACTGGTTGGTTGAGTGATTAATTGATTGGTTTAGTCGAGGTTGACTGATTAATTTATTGATTGGTTAGTTTATTGACTGATTGATTGATTGATCGATTGATCGAATGTTATACATTTCTGTACGGTTTTCTCTGTGGTCTTCCTTCTTACCCTTTAACTTTACTTCAAAGAGCTCAAAATAGAGTTGCAAAAGTTGCTCTAAATATCAGTAATTTATCTTCCGGCATAGATTCAACTACATTGGTTACCAGTACTTCAAGGCATTATATTTAAACTCGCCGTCCTCACGTACAAGTTACTCACTCCATCTCAACCATCATACCTTCATCAACTTATATCGCGTCGTTCATCAACTCGTCAATTTCGTTCGTTTCCGTATATTCAGTTGCATCAACCTGTCAGCAATTAATCAGTTGTCAACAAACGTTTTACGTACAGCTCTCCTTCCATATGGAATGGTTTGCCTGCCATCATTCGTCAACAATAAGCCATCAAACTTTTCAGGAAACGATTAAAGAACTTTTTGTTTATCCAGGCCTACAAAAAACGTCAAAAGTCGTTGTTCTTCCAAGCGTCCCAGAAGCTATGAATAGGGCGCCATATAAATTAATAATAATAATAAATAATAATAGTTTAGTCACATGACCACTTGTTACAACTTGATAACGATAAAATAAAGTGTCACCCGCCACCCATAAAAATGATGCAGACGATGACGTAGATCGCTGATAAGCAATGGCAGCAAATATGAATAACATCTTGATATGGATGACATCATTGTTACTAATTTCGATAACAAAGAATGATGATGATGAAAAAGAGTGGTATTATGATAATGGTGATGATGATGGTGGTGGTGATGATGATGGTGGTGATGATGATGATGATGATGATAGTAATAATGATGATGAGGATGATGATGACTTTTTTAGAAACTTTTTTAGAAACTACCCTCTTTTATAACAGAACTCATTTGACGCACTGCGTGCAACTAAATAGCTAAAATGTCAGGTATGTCTTTGGCTTAAATTAGAAAAATAAAAGTAATAACAAAAAAAATAACAAAAACACCACAAAATAAATTAATTTAGTTTGTGTTAATGAGTGATCGTTTAGATAGATAGATATCATGATATAGATAGACTTCAAGATAAATGTATCTGTGTAATTATATATAAGTAACAAATATATAAACATAATAATAATAATTATTATTATTATTAATATTTATTATCATTATTTTTATTAATATAAATTTTATTTCCTCATTTTTTGTTCTTTCAATCTGATCAAAACCGGCCAAGGTTTGTACAGCGTTGTTTCGAAATAACTCCACTGACTCAAACATCATGATAATGATGATTTAGAAATAACTCTCATCCACGTTAATTAAATTATTATCATAATTATTATTTTAAATATTATTGTTACTATATTTATTTATTATTATTCTTGTTGGTGTTGTTATTATTATTTTGTATTATTTTGGTTAGTCACGACGTAACGAGAGATCGTGCTGTGTTGTAAATGTGCAAACGTGCCTGATTACCTCGCAACGTCTCTCTCTCTTTCTCTCTCCTCTCTCTCTCTCTCGTTCTTTCTATTCTTTCTTTTTTTTCTTTTTCTATCTCCCTCTTTTTTCCTTTTTTTCCCCTCTTTCTCTTTCTTTCTTTTTCTGTATGTCTGTCTGTTTGTCTGTCTGTCTGTCTCTCTCTTTCTCTCTGGGTCTTTTTCTTTTTTTATGTTTTTCTTTTACTTTTGCTCTCTTTCTCTCTCTTTCTCTCTCTCTCTCTTTCTTTCTCTTTCTTTTCCTCTTTCTCTCTCTCTCCCTCTGTGTAAGTGTGTTCTTAATTCGTTCATGTCTATTTTTGGATCAGTTGTCATGATTTCTCAATGTGTCATTGCGTTATGCTACTCTTGTGTGTGTGAGTGTGTTTGTGAGTGTGTTTGTGAATGTGTCTGGGAATGTGTTTGTGAGTGTGCATGTGTGAGTGTGCACGTGTTGGTGTGGGTGAATTTATGTGTTAATTTTTATAAATAGTTGCTATAACATTTTTATTTATTTCTCAAAAGCAGTTCAACGAATATAATTGTATACGTACATTCATTAATTTGCATTTCTAATTTATGAAGGTTGGGTAATTTAATTTTTGTTAATAAACTTTCTCTCTTTCCCGCTTTCTCCTTCTCTCTCTTTCTCGTTCTCTCTCTCTCTCTCTTTCTCTTTTTGCATATTTATAGATATATGTATGTGTGTTTGCGTGCGTGTGTGTAAGTGCACACCTGTTAGTTGTTCAATTCATTATCTATCCAAAAATTAAATGGCGTAGAAACTTATCTAAAATTTCATATCATGATATACATATGAACAGATATACAGTTGTTTAGGAATATAAATATATATATTAAAAATAAATAAAATAAATTAATTAAATATA